TTTCCGTTAAGATCTGTGTTACCACATGCTTCATGCACATTACGAACCATTTTGTAATAGTTCCCAGGATCGACTTTCTCTTAACCTCGGCATTGGAATATGAATGTGTCGCTTTCTTGTTAAGCAATCGTGAGGTTTTTAAACAGCAAAATCTAGGGTCACCGTGATTGGGGGCATAACAATACCTGAGAATGCGCGCTCGCTATTAGAATTGGGCCCAAGTTTTGCACCATCACAGCCCATTTCTAAAACGACCCTGCGTAGGATAGCATGCAACCTTTATGAGCTTCAAGACCGACTCCGCTATCAGGCTAAGCAAAAAACATCAAATAGAGATAAAAATCAGGAGGCGGCGACACTACCACCATTTCCTTTCCCAAAAACGTTTTTTAGACAGCAGGACCCTAACGATGGAGTTGACACAAAATTCCGCGCGTTTTCGGACGGCGTTCTCAAGACCCTTGATCACTACCGCGATAGAAAGTTTATCTCTAACCTTACAGTCACACAAGAATGTGGCAAGCGGGAAATTAGAGAATTAATAAACTCGAAAACAATGAGATTGTCTGTTAGTGACAAGGGGGGAGAGTTCGTAGTTATCCCTCGCCAGCTGGATGTTGAGATAACAGAGGGACACCTTAGTGATGCTACTCTCTATCGCCCATCCTCTGAAAAGGAATATAAAAGTCAATACCGAAAACTAAACAATCAATGGGTCAGCGTGGCAAAGGCTGCGGGTTTAAAATNCTATTAGAATTGGGCCCAAGTTTTGCACCATCACAGCCCATTTCTAAAACGACCCTGCGTAGGATAGCATGCAACCTTTATGAGCTTCAAGACCGACTCCGCTATCAGGCTAAGCAAAAAACATCAAATAGAGATAAAAATCAGGAGGCGGCGACACTACCACCATTTCCTTTCCCAAAAACGTTTTTTAGACAGCAGGACCCTAACGATGGAGTTGACACAAAATTCCGCGCGTTTTCGGACGGCGTTCTCAAGACCCTTGATCACTACCGCGATAGAAAGTTTATCTCTAACCTTACAGTCACACAAGAATGTGGCAAGCGGGAAATTAGAGAATTAATAAACTCGAAAACAATGAGATTGTCTGTTAGTGACAAGGGGGGAGAGTTCGTAGTTATCCCTCGCCAGCTGGATGTTGAGATAACAGAGGGACACCTTAGTGATGCTACTCTCTATCGCCCATCCTCTGAAAAGGAATATAAAAGTCAATACCGAAAACTAAACCATCAATGGGTCTGCGTGGCAAAGGCTGCCGGTTTAAAATCATCGGTTATTTCGCACTAAAAAATCGATAGACCAACGTGTCCCGTCCTATACCTACTTATTAAAACACATAAGTTGGTATCACCTGATGATCATGCGTCAACCAATCCGTCATCATTTAAGGTTAGACCGATCATCAGCTGTGTAGACGGGCCAACGGATAGAATAACCTGATTTATAAGCCTGATACTTACCCAGTTGCTTGACCACATTCCAGCTCACCTCACAAACACCCAAATGCTCCTAGAACGTCTACGTAACGCGTCTCCTAATAAAGCGTACGTGATGAAGTCTTTCGACGTTACCGCACTGTACACCAACGTGTCGAATGACTCCGCAATGGAAGCCATCTTCGAACTTCTTGTTGAACATGAAGGAAGAATAAATATGCATGGCTTGTCCATCCAGCAGCTAATGGCTCTCTTAAAGGAGTGCCTAAACTGCTCGATTTTCAGATGGTCTGGGAAATATTTCGCGCAAATAAGGGGGTTGGCAATGGGACAGCGATCGGCACCAAGCCTTGCCATTGTGTATATGTCTAAGATAGAAGCCTCTGTTCTCGATCTCCGGCCACTACTCTACTGCAGATATATAAATGATTGTTTTGTCGTCTTCTCTACACAGGAGGAGATGGATAAATGCTTTGAATTATTGAACGAGCAGTCCGAGTACATAAATTTCACCCGGGAGAAACTGAGAAAAAACTGGCTTCCATTTTTGGACGTTCAAATAAACCTATCAAATAGCGGTTACTTGACAAAGTGGTATCGAAAGCCAAGTAACAAGAACATTCTTGTTCATTTCCTTTCTTCCCACCCTTCACACACAAAGAGGGCGATTGTGAGAAACATGTTTCGAACAGCCACCTCTGTGTGCACTACCAGAGAACTAAAGGAAGAATCGCGCGACTTGGCTCGGCAAATAGCCATATCCAATGGCTACGAAATAGTAACCCCACGAGATAACTTTACAAGGAGAAAGACGCGCCCACGCGAAACACTTGGCCAAAAGAAAGTCCCGTTTATGTTGCCTTTTATAAGCGATGAAGTAAGCGTAGCTATAAAACGATGCTTAATTAGGGCAAGTCTAGAGGAATCGGTAGCGATAGTTGAAATACCACCGGCTACTCTACGTCGCCAATTAGTTCACAACCGCCTGTATGACCGTCTGTGTGAAACAACAAATTGCGTAATTTGCCCTTACGGCAGGGACGGTGATTGCATGAGTTCAGGTACGATATACCTGTTTTCTCGTAATAATAGCGGAAATGAATATATTGGCGAAACGGGCAGACCTTTGTGTATCCCTATAAAAGAACACCTAGATGGCAAACGAAAACTAGGACGAAGCACCCCACTAGGCACGCATAGGATACAAAAGCATAGGGGAGACGATTTTAAAGTAAAAGTCAATATCCTTGCACAGAAGTCCAAAACACCAGTGCGAAAACTTCTTCAGGCTTTCTGGATAAATGCCAAAACCCTACAATGAATAGCAGGGACGAATGCCCGGAGGTCATACGCGACCTGATCCCGTATGTTCGCATCGATTTTTGATGTGGGATGGTGCAGTCGTCAACCACATGCGACTATAATCAGCTGTTCTGAACTTCCTCAGTGGAAGTCACGAAAAAGCGGTGGGTTTTCCAAGAAGTTGTTGATCATATAATTACCAGAGAGTTTTTCGTCTTTTTGTAAGTGTTATTGAAGCGTTTGGCCTAGTAGATCGTATAACAGTATACCCTTCCAGGCTCTGAAGAAGGCGATACTGCCGAGACGTCAGCTACTGTTGTATTGCATTATGTTTCTCTATGGAAGTAAATGTATGCTGTTTAAAAACCTCGCGATTGCTGAACAAGAAAACGACACAATACAGTAACAGTACAGCGAGGTACATGGACGAGTTAGGCGATATGAATGAACAGGATGGACACTGGACGAACAGCGCGAACACTTGAAGATGAATGGCCATAGGCTGTTTGTATTACTTCTGTAGTGAATGCCAGAGGGAACTAAAGACAGCGCTTAGAGAGGTTATAAAGGTTTTTTCTACTAGCACAATCTGATAGAGGTACATGTGAAAGGGCGCAGCTGCTCGTTCGGAAACCTCTTTGGGACGGCACATGCTGGGAAGCACATTCAGCTGACTGCTGTTGATTCAGGTGCCCGAACTGTCGGACAAAGAAGAGCAGTTTATTGAAACAAATTATAGAATCCCTTTCCAGCCACCAGCAAGGCAACTGCATGAGATAGTGGCAAAAAGAGGCAATTTAGAGCAGGTGCTAAGATAGATTTAAGATAGTTACAGGTGAGCGAGAAACATACACTAATATAGAAAATAGGAACTATTTGATGAATATGTTTAACATTTTGTTTTCTGCCTTCTATAATTTTCATGCCAGGTTACTAAGCGAAATACAACCACAACGTTGCTGAGATATTTGCAAAACTCTGGACCGCAGGTGTCATGGTGGGGGACGGACGCG